TGAATTCTATGTTGACTATGTTGACATTGTGATACAAATAAAGTTAACTAATCTTGCAGGCGAGACTTCGATTTTTTCCAAATAGAAGGATTTATTTATAAGTCTGAATTTAACATTAACCACATTGTCGTTTTTTCGTTGGTAAAATGGTAAGAGCTGAAGCGACACCGCCAAAAACTAACCAAGATAGATTTGTTTCAGAATTTCTCTTAGCGCATCTGTGCATATCAAAAAAGGGAGGCTTTCATGGCCTTTATCTGCGTAAGGTTATGTTAGGTGTCATTTTCCTGCCGATCATTTACTCTAGACCGGTAAGCTAACGTATGACCGTACACATGCATGATTACTGAGAGGATCGCCTGTCTTTTATTCTTTTATTTAGGTGGAACACAACTCCAGACCCAGATGAAGTTGCAAAGAGAACCACTTATTGCCTACTTATCAAGTTGGAGCTAATGGCTCATGCGGATAGCTTTAACAATTTTCTTACGGTACAAAACACAATGTTATGACTTGTTCATATGAAAAGCCATCAAGACGCAGGTTGCTGCTATGCGATACCTTTTTAAAACACTTTTTTTAAAACTGTCCTTCGGTTCTCGATAAGGTCTTATTTTTTCATTTCTGCTTAAATTCTTGTTTAAAAAATTATTGAGAGATGGGGCTGGAACGAAAATGATCCTTGCAAAGTACTACAACGGGTAAATAAAATGCTATCACCTTATGTCTGACAGTTTCATTGGTCCGTTCTGCCTTCTACGCTTGGAATGTCCTTCAGGTCAATTTAATGTCGAATCCCCTCTTATCCTCTTAAAATATTCGCGTAAAACCCAATCCAATGCCTTCTTTTACTAAGCAATAAATTTCAAGGCGCTAAAATAATCACTTGTCTGGTCGTCACAAAAATAATGCACAATGCGAGCGTTTGTGATTATTAACATTTGAATATGTATGTTTTACCGAACACGATGGTGAAAAATTAAAGACCCTAATACGTAATGCCTAGCGTAAAAAATTACACAAACGTGAACTTGTACTAAATTTAGAAAGTGTACTTTAATAGGAGGGCATAATTGCTTGAGACTTCGTTCGGTGAGCCACTCATGCCACTTCGATACCCTATTGGTTCTATTGCATTTGTGTGCGGCGATGATTCCCGAGGGTTTGGCCGCTATTGCTGCCGGGGTAAATTTTGTGGCGAATCTCTACGGTAAACGTCCCTTTTATGCAAGTAATTTACAAATCGATTTACCAAGCTTTTAAGAGCTTTACAGGACAATTCCTTCCGTTGTCCTGATGTATGCATTTGGGGGCGCTATTGAACGTATATTGTTGCATCGGAAAAGAACACGTTTGCTTGTCATTGAACACTACAAGTCCATGTTTCCCGATCGCGTTCCGAAAAAAGGTAATCATTGTCTGACAGCAACGTAGGACTGAAGCTGTTTGAAGCAATCGGTCTATGGGCTTCAAAAACTGGCCCATCTAATTTTCTTTCTCCGGTAGGAGTATCTGTATTCCGTGCCTGTTACTGAGTTCTATGAATGAGTAGAGGAAATAGATCTCGAAAGGCTGCTCTCCCATTTCATGCTATTCTGGCTCTTTTAAAACCCCTTCTTTTTTTCGACAATGCTACTGAAGCTAAATCGGCATTTTCCTGTCATCCTTAGAGGAGACCTTCTATGCAGACGTCATCGCTCCCTGGACTCCAAGACGTTAGTTAGTGTATCCCGTTGCCCTGAAGAACTCTGTTATCCTTAGTCGGCTCATATTACCCAGTACAAATGAATCCTTGCTTTTATGCTATAAAATAATGGGTCGGATTTGCGCGTTTATTACCACTGTATCACCACGATGGTAGTTTGAATTTCCCTTCCAGCAGTGCGTTAACGTGTGCCCAGGTGACCCGTTTCATTTCTGGATTAAATGCCGCCTCCGGTAACGAGATCGGAATACACCCGTTGAAGTAAAGACCATCTTTCTTCCTTCTTTGATGTGTATCAATGGTAGAATGAAGAGCACAGAATGCAAGCGTAGCGGTGGAGAATTCCTAGGAAACATTGGGACAGGTCAGGAAATTTATTCACCAACCATGTTTTTGGTAAGAGGGTAGGCTATGAAGCGAAGACATTTCAACCACCACCAGCAAGTCCAACTGGCGGACGAAATAAGCTTGCTCTGCCAAATTAAGTTACCGGAGGAGCAAACAAAGACCTCGGGGTTTCGCACTTTATGCCGTTGGAGGAACTCTCGAAGGGCCGCAGCAAAGAGTATCTGGAGAAACTTTGTATTCGCATAGAGTTTAATACGACCGCAGGTATCTAAATAAGAATTGAGGGAAGGTTCGAGTGCTGACAAGACATCGTTTGCCTCGACCATATCCGATGCCCTGTAAAAAGAATCGATTCATAGAATTGTGAGGTACCGTAGGGCTTCGCAGGTGACGAAGACGACAGTCGATCTGGAAGTCTCACGGAGACGGCGCTGGAGCAGACGGGTCAAGAGAACATGAGAGAGAAAATTGATTTGCACAATGCGGTCAAAACCGTCAGTCGATCTCTGGTTCTCAAAGGACTCGGGGAGAGTTGCAGCTGCGAAGACTAGAGCGTGAATCGGCCAGGATAGTTTGTTGTATACCTAATCGGATCAGGTTGTTAACTGCGATTACTTCTGCAAATTCAAAGACCGATTGCATGCAACTGAGATCCAGGTGGTTCCAAAAGAGGGAGCCGTTGGATGGCGAAGGAAGTTGGCTAGCGCAAGTGAAAGTGGACCATCTGCCTGGAGGTGGGCTTCGTGACAGACATGTAATGATTGAGCCGCGTGAGACCAAGGATTTTGCAAGATACTTGCCCACGCCACTTGTGCCACCAATCAGAACTATGTATTTTCCTACGGCATCACAGGCATCCAGAACCTAGAAGTGATGAGAATCAGATTATCTACCTCAGTAGTTGTTGATAGATCATCGAATTTGGAGTACTGGGTCTGACACCCACCGGGTGTTCTTAAGAAGGGTAATGCGAGGCGAGGATCAACATAGCTCTGGGCTCCTGTGACTAGACTTAAGGCCATACGCTGACAACGCTTGTTACTTAGTAAAGATTCTGTGATTTTGTTTGGAGGTGGTCTTTATCCAATCCTTGGGCATAGGAGGGAGATATCTCTTTGCTCCTGTGAGTGGGTTGCGACTGACAACAATCCCGGATTTCACGCTGCAAACATCATGCGGCTCTTATGAAAGTACTTACTTCCTGTAACACACTTCGTTCTCTTCATTTGCTTCTGTCTGCCAGTCCAGTGGCAGTAGGTCTTCACAATCCGAATCGAGCATTTATGCAGAATTTGCCATAGAGACTAGATATTGACAAATAAGGCAACAAATGGAACACGTTGCACACCCATTCGTATGAGCTCCGAAGTATTGTCCAACGAAATGGAGGGAAAGACCATGTGTAACTCGTGGATTAACTACTATTTTATCTTCTGTGCGACACTATTCTGTTTCACCTTTATCAGTTTTGCATGTTTGTCAAAAGACTGTGCGTCGAAAATTATCAAGACGTCTTAATTGCACTCGTCAAATTGTCCAATTTTTGATCAAGAGTTGGTGGCGCTAGTGCTTACAAGTCTGAGAATAGTGTGCCAAGAAAGTCATACTACTATGTTTTGCATTTGTGTCTTTTTATTCGCAATTTGTTAATTTATGTGAAGCTTCTTGAATAGTTGGACAAATAGTAAAATATCGAGCCCTCACCAACTGGAAAAACAGGCGTTGTAGCACCTCGAGGCTTCCCATAGGGTGGAAGAAGGCATAAGTGAGGTTAAATACATGTATTCCGAAGACGACAGGGCAAATGGGCTTGGGCATGGCCCGGACGCCAGCCCACATGTACAGAGACCAGACATATTCTATAGTGACCGTCACGTAAACAAAGCATTACGATACTGCCTCTCTCTTCTTTTGAGTGACATCCTCGGCGATCCCCTTGGTACGCCTCCCGTGCCAAGCATCACAACATATTCAGTATTACATGAGTGCACCCACGAGCTAACCGCGCCAGCCGACAGGTAGCATGAGACTGAGGAACCGTACCTGGTCTCCTCGGCCGCTTCAACTGGATTTCGAGTTAAGTTCAGTCTGACAACCGGATTCGGGGCCGCCTACACCTGTTGAACATCAATTGCTTCCAGCAACAAACGGTGGAACTCTGGCCTAAAACATATATGTTACAGGGACAATGTGATGAATCACTGTCCTGTATATAAGGAGAAACGTAGTGTCATTTTTGACACCTAAACACGGATTTCGTATGGAAAATTCCGACA